AACCCCCCCCCCCCCCCCCCCATGACTACTTGGGTTATTGCCCCCTGAAATGAAAGAGACAGCGTTCCTACTCAGCTGTTGTTAGTTTGCTGTTATATACAACACATGTATATATATATACGTATCTATGTACACAACACGTGTATATATATATACATGTTTACGTGTGTTGGACTTGGATACATATATTACCATATAAATACATGTAAATATGCAGTAAATCTAGAGGTGAATACGACGCGTTGGCGCATCGACCTGTCAAACACGGAAGAGAACAACGACCACGTGGGAGTCGCTGCTGATGAGGACGTCGTTTTACACGTCTGCGTGTACAGGAATAGTAAGTGGAACAGTCATTTTCATCAACCATATAAATACGAATAAGAAGAATAAGAAATTAGATGGAATAAGAGGGAGAAACTGTATGTTTGGTGCATCTAAACATTGTTACTACCTGTTTACCTGTTTACCTGTTTACCTGCGTACCTGCTTACTCAGCCTGCTTAGCTGTTTACAGACATTTCTGTGACCAGACTAATCCAGAGGGGGATTACAGCAAACTAGAGAGGAATACAGAACAACATGCAGTAAACGTTCCTTAGATGTAGAAGAGCGTGTTAAAGCTCATTACAATTCAACTTGATGTTGAATCTTAATCAGACCAACTGAGATTAAAACCCACCAAGTAGATGTTGTTTGTGTAACGAGGTCAACGGACAAAGACCCAAATCCACAGAGCATTTCAATCTGTAAACTCACTAATTAGATGCAAACGCTGATGTTAACTGAAGTTGGTTCGCTGAGTCGCAGTGACCTGCATGTGGAAACTAGTAAGTCTCTTTAGAGGGTTACTGAAGAGGAACAAAGGCCCCACGGAGCAGCTTCAGATCTCCCTTCGATTACAGCCCAGCTGATTGTGCTCCTTTGGACTCATGGTAGCCGGTGTGATTGTCTGGAGACTCGCCCGATTAGACATGGACTTATTATGGTACTGACTTGAGATTGAAATTCAGTGTGACGGATGAGACTGACTGACGGATATCTGGAGGGATGGATGGGTGGGTTGGTTGGTTGGTAGGTAGGTAGGTAGGTTGGTAGGTATGTATGTAGGGAGGGAGGTTGGTAGGTAGGTAGGTAGGTAGGTTGGTAGGTAGGGGGGTTGGTAGGTAGGTAGCTAGGTAGGTAGGTAGGTTGGTTGGTAGGTAGGTAGGTAGGTAGGTAGGTAGGTAGGTAGGTAGGTTGGTAGGTAGGTAGGTAGGTAGGTAGGTAGGGAGGTAGGTAGGTAGGTAGGTAGGTTGGTAGGTAGGTAGGTAGGTAGGTAGGTTGGTTGGTAGGTAGGTAGGTAGGTAGGTAGGGAGGTAGGTAGGTAGGTAGGTAGGTAGGTAGGTAGGTAGGTTGGTTGGTTGGTAGGTAGGTAGGTAGGTAGGTAGGGAGGTAGGTAAAAAGGTACCAGGGTCTGTAGCTGCATAGATCTGGTAGAAATGTCAGTGAGCAGGAAGAAATGAGTGGGTGAAGTTAAGCTACGGGGCTAAACGGGGTTGATTAAAGAGAAATGTAAAAGATGAGAATGAGTGATATCAGCTAAAGAGTTAAAGAGAAAATAAGGGAATGAAGGTGAATGTTGAAAGAAAGAAAAAACAAGCAGCTGCAGTGCGTCATCTCTTTAAGCCCCGAAATGACGAAGCGAAGCGCCCAGAGCCACATAATCCCGTCCCCCATTAGCAGCCGAGTACCATGACCACACACTCACACTCAGGCACTCGAGTGCTGCAATGTCCAATGTCAGGATCTCCGATCCACCGAGTCGGTTGATGAGAAGAATCGCAGCACGTTGATCAATTAAAGTCAAAAAGTTAACATTTATTTAGAAGAGAAAAAGATTACATGAGCAATTCTCCGCAGATATCTGGCTCTAACTATTGCTTGCAAGCAGGAGGTCCAACACAGCAGCACGTATCTCAGCGTTCGGCGTAATGACGTCTCCGAGCAGTAAAACCGCTGAGTTTTTCTACACATGAAGACCATCCTCAGTGCCCGTTACGAGAAGCTAGAAAGCAGGTTGAGATAAGAACCCAGGTGAAGATGAGGGAAACACACACACACACAAGATCCTCCTCAGTGGCCGGTGCACATCATAATTAATTGACATGAAGTTAAAACGTGGATCCGGAACTTTCGTACCGAATAAGATATGAACCAAGGCCACGAACAGAAGTCCTTTGTTTTGAAGCGTCTGTTAAGTTAAGTTAAATCCCTTCTTCAGACACAGCTGCAAACCTTCAATCTTTCTGTCTCTGCACATCACAGTCAAAAACAGGCACCTGAGGCCCGGCTTTAGCACAAAACAATGTTATAATATATTTTACCAGTAGATGCATCTCACACCGACCTGACAGAAAGTTCCTTTGCTGCATTTGTGTCAAAGTGTAATTAATTCATCGAGAAACCCTACGAAAGAACACCACCTCTGCCGCCTGAAGCCTCTCACTAACACGGGCATCTCCACGAGAGGTCACCGGGGTCACCCGTGACTCCCGTGGGTGGAGTTTAATGCCAACGCAGGCTTTGAGTGAGCAGCAGGGGCCCCGTGTCATTCTGCGTGTTATAACGAG